TAACCTCAAAAAACCGAGCAGGAATCGCTATTTTCAAATTCTGAGCGGATTTTGACCAGATTTTGTATAAAGGGGTTTTTTGGGTCGCTGATTACGAATATGAATTCACATTGTAAAAATTCAAGATGGCTGATCCAATATGGCGGGTGTACTTTTTTGAAATCCACCGATTTCAGTAAAATTTGGCATCATAAGGATTGCTGGTTGATCTCACCTTCATTAATCACACATCTGGAGCCAGATTTTCATAAATCAAGGTAAAAGATTCCACTCCGTCTAAAAATGTGACTTCGCTTAAAAAAATGACTTAAGGACTCTACACATGTAATGATGTGTAGTGTGATGTGCTTGTTTCCATGGGACAAGACAAAAAAGTTTCTACTTTATTCTTTCATTTATTTAGTCGTGCATGGGCTTATGGTTTTCCAATCAGATTTTTTTAACTACTATGCAGTTTTCCTATGGCATTTAGATGCTTTTATTTCTTAATAATTTTAAAGTTCAAGGAAAAGGACACATTACTGCCACACAGCACATCACTGCATCTGCTTATGCCTTCAATCTAAAAATGTGACTTTGCCGAAAAAATGCCGCCTATTAGGCCTAAAATTATGACTCTGCCTATAAATTTGATTCCACCTGAAAATCTGGCTCCAGATGTGTGATTAATGAAGGTGAGATCAACGAGCAATCCTTTATGATGCCAAATTTTACTGAAATCGGTGGATTTCAAAAAAGTACGCCCGCCATATTGTATCAGCCATCTTGAATTTTTACAATGTGAATTCTAAAAAATACTAAATTATGTCATATGCATAACTAAATAATGACAAGGCAATAATAAAAATGTTAATAAAGACTATAACAAAATTAATATAGCCTTTAATGTTCAAAATATAATAATGTAGGTGTTTGTTTAAATATAAAATATCAATTTAAATTTTTAGTAATTCCCATTTTGCACCTCCATTTTGTGCATAAATTCCAAATAAACTCTTAGTCATTAATAATAGTGAACATTAGTCTTAAAAATAATTTATTATTAAATGAAGAGAAATTCTATACCATTAGAATTTAGCCTGCACTAGTTTTACTTCTCTCGCACACGTCTGTGGTTTATTACAATTTTGGCCTTCATTTAGTTACTAATATAAGAGAAAGGCGGTTGTCTGCGGTTTCTATGATCTATGATCAACCTTCCTTAACCAGTTAACCTATACCTAACCATATCGTCATTCGTCACATACAACAATCAAACTTGAAATATTTTGTTGATATATGTTTTTTATTACCAGAGAGGAAATAAATAGTTAAATATTAACTCTCTGTATAGAGTTTCAATATGTGGAACTAAAAGTCCAAGGATTTCATTGTGTTGTGTATGCATAAAAACGAATACTACATGCAATTGCAATGTAGTTAACATAAATAAATCTCAATTATAATTTAATTACTAGAAAGCAGATTTGACAATTTCTTGAATAAAAAAAAGGTAAAAGCAATAATGGAAAATTGGCAATATACACCGCCATCATTCAATCCATTCATTAAAACAGAAGAAATTGAAATCAAGTCTGAGGAATATGAAGAAAAACCAAAAGAGTTGAGCAAAATAGAGATGGATATAAAATTTGAAACCTTTGGACAGGAAGAACATAAGACGTTGAAAAATGAGAATATTTCGGTGAAACTGAAAGAAAGTAAACAAGAAAGGTAAGAACGAATTAAAATATTTTTAATTTTAACCTTTGGCTAGTTATCAATTTAATAAAGCTAGTATGATTTTCCAATTTTAATCATTTTTCAGTTTGCAACACCATCTGAAAGAATTATGTGATTTCCAAGATGTCAAAGAAACAAAAATCCATATATCATTGTCAGGAAGCGATTCTGATGCTGAAAATACTTCGATAGCTAACTCTGTTCAAAATACCTGGAAATGTTCCCTGTGTGATTTCGACTGTAATAGTAAAGAAGTCCTTAGGAAGCATATAACCTCCACTCACAAAAACCCATCAAACTTATTTATTTGTAGTCTCTGCGCCTATACAACTGAATATTTACATAAACTTGTATCACACAAAACGTGGCATAAAAACCTTGCAGATGCGCAGTGCCATGTGCTTGATGTCCCTAAAACTGTAGTAGAACGGAAAATCTGTTCCGAAAGTAAGGAAGAGAAATGTGCCATCTGCGGTTGTAAATATAAGAATAGAAATGAGCTCGGAGAGCATATTACAGCAGCGCACAAAGATCCTTCGGACTTAAACATGTTCAAGTGTAACATTTGTGATTATCTAACAGTGTACTTTCATGTGCTTGTTAAACACGTATCAAACCATAATAGCTTCCCCGACACAGATTGGTACCTCTGCAATAAATGCGACTATAGAACACTTCATAAATACTATTTCAAGCAACACGTATTTAGACACACCAGTGATTCTAAAATGGATATGATCAAATGCGGTGAGTGTCCATTTCAATCGATTTCCCACACTGTTCTTCGTAGGCATATGTTGAAACATAAAAGTCAGTGGTACGGGTGTGAAATCTGCGATTATAAGACGATACACAGAAGTCACTTGAGGTGGCACATGTTAAAACACAAGAGGTTGTCAGAAGTGGAAGTGTACGAGTGCAGTTTGTGTGAATTCCATACAAAATGGAGGACTAGCCTTATGGGCCATATGTTGAGACATGCTAAAGGTGCTTCATGTAAACGCTCGTTACGTTACTGTAGAAACCAATGCTAGGACATGCAATATTCTTGAGTGTGTGAAGAAAGGTGTTTCGATCAAAGATGTCATAAATTCAGGGGCTGATAGAATATTCAGTAGACGACAATTTTCTAAATTTTCAGAGAATGTTTTTTAATTTATGCTGCAAAAGTCCCCATAAACTAACCTGGACGTTTTCATTAAAATCGTAAAAAGTTTTTCTGACAACATTAAAAAACTATTTTTTATGAAAATTTCTACACCCTGTATCTCGAAAGCTTATTATATAATCCCAGACAAGTTTGTAGGAACTTCTTTTCTTATTTTTTATGGAATCACCATCTAAATTTTATCGCAACATTAATTAATATACGTATAACTAGTACTAATCGAAAGTAAGTCCCGAAGGGACAACTTCCTGAAGTTGTGACATAGACACAGAGAATACCTTACCTTGTGCATTCAACTCAAAATAATATTTTTTTAGCCCCTTTGTGATCCCAAAATGTTTTTCATAATGAGTGAAAAAATACAATTGTCTGTTAAAGTTGATCAAGTTCAATCTTTGAATCTTCTATCAAGTCAAGATAAATATTGGACAAAGTTTTTATTCAGTAAAAGCAAAATTATTATTTACAGAACAACTTCTCAAGAAACTTTTTAAATTTGATAGGATAGGGTTTTGTGATTATGGGAATAAAATGTGAAAACCTAACTTAACAATAGTAAATTTAAACTAATTTCTAAGAAACTTACCTGTGCTAAACTTTAATGCAATATATTGTACTTTGATTTTGTGAAAGGTATAACCAACATTTATTTTAAAAAATTATTAGTTTATAGGAAATAATCGGCTTATTCTTCGCATCTTTTTTCAAAACACCTTTTATAAATACTTTCTACCTGATTATAAAAAGGTGCGTTAAAAAGAATAAAACTCTCGAATAGTAAGGAGTACATATATATCAGACTATTTGTTGCGTGAATGTCCCGAGCAAGTGTTTACCATAGATATAGGAGTAATGTTTGGTGGTGAAATTTCCTACTTTGCGCATTTTGATCGGCAAGTGTGCTGTGAAAAATTCCACAAACCACGATTCCATTGTTTATTTGATTTTGAAAAACAAAATAAAAAAATTGTAAATACATGTTTATAAATTTCGAAATAAAGTAATATTCCTTTTTGGGTATATTTAAAAATATATGTGAGCTTCATATCTACATATTTTACCTATGTTAATAGCTTCCATCTATAAATCAAGACACCCTATTTTTTTTAACTACTGAATTCAATGACATAATTTGATATTTATATAATATTTGCAGGGAAAAAATGAGGAAAACAGTTTGTAATTAGTGGGTGTTATCAAATACGGCAAAAAGTCAATCTGCATAATCTTTAGCATGTACAATAAGCTATATAAATATGTGACAGCAAAAATTTGATTGCTTATACAGTTTTTCTGTAGTTGATTGTCACAAATTAAACACATTTGTTAGTGAGTGGTAATTAGATTAGACTATTATTTAATTTAACATTTTTGTTGCAAGTCAAATTAATATAAGTACTATTTTCCTTCGTTTCTTTCCACAAATATGCAAAAAAAATCAAAACTAGATCAAAAAAATTTCATTAAAAGAGATAGCTATCGTCTCTCTTATCAGGATACATGTTAGAAAAACAAAAAGTTAATGCCAGTTTGAAATATTTTTGGGACTATTAACACTATGAACATGTTTAATTGTAGGTATATTGTAAGACCTGTCAATAAAATATAAAAACCGGCATTGAAGAATATAAGAATTGTTTTATTGTGCTGCAAATGGAATATCATGACAATGTATATACCAATCCGAGTATGAGTGTGTACGCCAATCTGGAGAACCTAGAATTATGAGGTAATTTCATAGATTTGGAAATGTCAGGAAAATATCAGACAATTTCTCAAATGAATTCAAAAAATTACATCAGGATAGAAAGAATTTATTTCAGTTGAACTATAAAATGAGATGGCTAAATTTTAAAAATCATTTCTACTTTTTTAATAAAAACATTCTAGTATAATATTACTGAATTTTTACACTCTTTGTCTAGAAATATAAGCTTTTCAGTATCTATAATAGTTACTGAAATCCCTGTAGTGATAATCAAATATAATTCACCCTTCATATATTTAAAATGGCTGCTTAAAAGTCGACACTAAGTATGAACATTTTTGTGATTCTATAAAAAAAAAGTATAATTTTTCGCTTGCCTGAATACTAAATAAATGCGGTTTAAATATATTTTTAATTTAGAAGAAAATACTAAATTAAAAACGCACATCGATAGAATCTATAATCGTCTATAGACTTAGTTACACTGGACGTCGATCTATATTCTATCTCTGTCTTTAGCACTTGGTAGAAAATAGGGAAATGCTTTTTTAGCATGGGTGTAAACGGATCTGATTTAGCCGTCCTGAGAAACGTCTTAGCATAAGCGTAGACGAGGGGTCTAATTCCATGGCTACAATAAATTTATAAATTAAAAAAACACAACTGGGACGTTTTAAAATGCTGTAATAATTAGCATGGATCAAAGTGCCGGTTATAGCAAACCGTAAAAAATATTAGATGTTATGTTTTATTATCTTTTTTCAATATTTTCTATATCTTGTTGCCTTTTACGCAGACACGCCAATGGATTTTTGTTCCCGACACGCTTCATCCCCTTTACGACTCCAAAAGCTAGCGATGAGTCACTCTCTATAATTTCGACCGCAGAGTATAAGTATTATTATGTTCAACATGAATTACAGGACCCGACTTACTTGCAAGCCCTTGGATTCAATCAAAGAAAAAATTGGTTCTCCATTGAGATTTCTAATTTAAATGTGCTCAGAAATTAATATCTTAAGGTGGACACTTTCAACATTTTCTATAAAATGTTATATTATATGTTTATCGAGTTGTGTATTGTAGGTACGTTTACAATGCATAATTAATTATATATAAATAAATAATTGTTTATATTACATTTAAAACACTGAAAACTCGAGGGAAAACGAAAAAATAGTAAGTCAGTTTTTGATCAAAATTGAGCTAGAATTTAACCCATGCAATTATAAATTAGAAATGTCAACAGAGAACCAATTTTTTCTTTGATTAAATCCAAGGGCTTGCAAGTTTGGTCTGGTAAATCATGTTCAACATAATAATACCTAGTAATGTGTATTCGGTTGTAAATAGTTGTTCAAATTTCATTTAAGTCCCTCAAGTGGAAATACAGATTTTTGGAAAAAACATATTTTATTTTAAAACTTTGACACCCTGTAGCTAAGGAAGCGAAGCGAAATCGAACCCATGTTGATATGAAAAAATAATCTTGTTTTTAGGTTAGGAATCTGCCCCCGAGCGTTGGACCATGTTTTCTGAAACATCCTGTATGTTATCCTCAGGACAATCTGAGGATGTCTTAGTATTACGATATATCCTCTGCATATCTGGGCTACATATTTCCATTTTCACGAGTACAGTAGCCATCAAATAACATATTTAAGCACCTACAATTAAGTTGAGCAATAAAATGATCGTGTTACAAATTTTTCTCAGAAATATTTTCGAAATTTATAAGCTCTTAAAAAATTACGAATGTATTTTACATTGAGCATTGATATTTGTTTATTTTTACATACTTTATTAGTTTACCTAAAATAGTCACAGTATTAAAATGTTAATCAATCATAAAGTGGAAATTATATTAGATAGGAACCTGATTTTTCTTACGAATTGTCAAAAATTTTCTTTCATTTTTGTGTGATACTTAAAATTAAACAGTATGAGTTAAAAATTGATTTTCTCTCAACACAAGATGATAAGTGACGTCATCAGTATTATAAATACATGCAAATTATGAAGTGTCCGCAGTGTACCAAGACAATTAATTGTATGTAAAACTAATGCTCACAAAACTTCTTTATTGGCCATTTCATTTAACTCCTGCTCAAGAACTTGAAAGTTTAGATCCCAACGCACGTTTACAATTTTGACGCTGGTTGGCGAATGGCTTCGCAGAAGATAATAATTTGCTTCAAAAATTGTTTTGTACCGACAAATCTTGTTTTACAAGGAACGAAGTTGTAAATTTTCATAATTTACATGTGTGGAGTGATGAAAATCCTAAAGAAACATGACAATAATGACCTTACCTGATAGCCACAGCAATCTACATCTTATTTTCATCGCCAACTCAACTCAAAGTTTTAAATTCGTGATACCTACTGCTACACAAACCAAAACATGCAGACCTGCAAATAATGCTATTTTTCTCAAGAATGGTTTTTTGTAGGAGATCATCTCAAGACACTTTTTTTTAATAAACCGTCCTTTTCAATGTTGCTGTCCGTTTTAAAAAAATACGACAACTGTCAAAGTTTTGACCGCTAAAAGGGAGGGGTAACCGGAGAAAACAATCACCCAGTATATCAATTTGACTAAAGCATTAAGAAATAATATGCCATAATAGTCCAATTAAATGTGCCAAATTTTAACGCGATCGGTAAAAGGGTTATGAAGTTATTAATTAAATTAGTTCTATTTTTGACAACTTTGAAGGCTCAAAAACCAAAAATGTTTTATTTAACTTTTTTTTTTTGTAGATCATATTTATTTATCATCGTGAATATGCAGTCAAACGTTGTCGGAGAAATTTGCGAACACCCTGTATATTATACTTATTAAGTATAACCCTGTATTTTAAATTGGCACCAATATTTTTAACCGATATCGACATCCCTAGTTTGTATATCTAGAAATAGGGAGATCAATTTTAAACAGTTAACAATTAATCGTATCTCAAATAATTTACATTATAAATCAATCCTCCAATATTACACAATATTTTTAAAAGTTTGGCACTATGAAAAAAGTAATACACAAGTTAATGTTACTAAATAACAGCAACTGTTATAAAAAAAAATCTTCATTTTAAAATATTCTCATTCAGTTTAAATTACTTTGACTCAGGTTTGTGATTCGATTTTAAATAATTTGAAAATGTCTCGAGGAAAATTTGTTCTTTAAGTTTTTAAATTAATCTGCAAGCAATAAATAGGGCACTATTAAATGATTACTGAAACCACACCTATGTTTATCTGGAAAATTATTATATTCGAAGTTTCTAATGAAAATTTACATTATGAGTTTTCAGTTTTACATATTTCTTGATGTTTATGCACTAAAAAAAAGAAACATCTCCTGATACTAAATAACTAGTAACATACTTATACACTACAATGGTCAGGTCACTGAACTTGACTTAATATAAACATTGCAATTGATACTGTGCATAAAGAAAAGCCATGGGGAAAACTGATGATCGATTATCGATATAGGACTATTTTGTGCCGATTCATACGTACTGAGATAGTGTCCTTATTCCTATTTCTCTTCCATTTCTATGCTTTACACATATATCTTTGTTGCATTTCAACCCGTTAATTTAGATATGACTAATTTTACAATAAAAATATAAATATATCCTACTCTTAAAAATATATAATCTAGTAGACATTGAATCTTTTCTTATTATACAGGGTGATACACAACTTATCCAAAAAAATTTTGGAATAGATGCGGCATGAGAAATTTTGTAAAATCCTTATAGTTTCTGAGAAAAAAATTATTGAAGTTATAGCACATTAAACCACTACATAGCTGGACAACTGTAACCTCTAACATCATTCGCAATACGCGTGGAGAGCCATGTGACTCCTAATACTGAAATCCGTCGTTGCGGTAGTTTTTACCTGTTATCTGTGGTATTTACATCAGTTTTTTAGTAGTTAGTGTCAAAAATGGCTTGCGTGTATAGCAACTCAGAGTTGATGGATATCGTTTTAATTTATGGTGAAGCAAGACAACATTTGTATTATGGTGAAGTATTTGTGTTATGGTGAAGCAAGACATCATTTGTGTTAGTTCGTAGAAAGTGAGTAAGACGGACCCAAATGTGTTTACACGTGAGTGGATAAAATTTTGAACAATTGCTGTTGCAGCATCGGGTATGTCAAATGATTTTATTATTTAAAAACACAAATTAATTTTATTAATAATTAATAAAGGCAAAAGCATTTGAATTTGCCGATATAAAATAGGTGCGATAAAATTCTATTTACATATTTCTTTCCTTGCGAAAGTTTTTGTCCGTATATCACGCCGCCATACCGGTCGCATTGTGCAAGGTCAGGTTTTACAGTGGACCAGTTTCCAGTGCCGTGCAGAAGTGTATTTTTAAATCAATTTCGAACTGACCTTTTTGATTTTTTCTTTACAAAATTGTGTTTGTAAAGGTCCCCTGTACATCGAGAATTTTTTTTTGGATAAGTTCTGAATCACCCTGTATATTTATGTGGGTGGTCACTGACCAAGCGATGCTATACAGGGTGTCACTTTAACTGAGGGTCAATTTCTTAGGAGAAATAGTAGATGTTCCCCTAAATACGAATCTGAAATACTTTAATACTTGTGTACGCTATCATTGTAATATTCATGTATTACAAATACATGAATTGTAAGCAACCTACAACGCACGTGAAGGGAGATAGTGCGGGTCAACAGCGACAAAGCGAAGGGAGTCAGTTGTTCCGCATCTAACTGTGAATTTGAATCCTTTTCACTACTGGAAGCCAACAGACTATATATTTTTGTATATATAACTCGCAGCGAAATTGTGCATGCGCTGTGACTAAAACGCGTCGTTATTGATACATGTTTCTAATGGTCAAAGGAAGCCTTTATATAAATATGACCTCCACTCAATGTTACACCCTGTATATAAGCTGCCACTTTGTTATTCTTACAGAACACCACGATTTTTGAAGAATTTTGAACATGCAAAATATTTAAATATCCTTAACTTGCTAACTTTGAAATTTTTCATACCTAATTGATTTTTATTTTTTTAATATCCAAAGCATTCCTGATAAATATGACACAAATTTGTTGTATCAATACACACACTATACATTGTTCCATTTGAAACAAAAATAACAATTATTATTAAGTTAGACATTGAAAAGATTTGCAGTATTTTTGAAGGCATTAATGGCAATGTTTTTTTTCTAAGATCAAATAAAAAATTGTGAAATTATAACAGTCTAGTGTCTATATTCTCCACGTATTCAAGAATTTTGCTCATTCATTTGTACAATCACATAAACAAATTTATCCTAATATATCTACTCAGAACAACTGTCATGTTTCGACAAGTGCTTGTTAAAGCTACTTTTCCACCTCGTATAGAACTCACACATATTGCACTTATACACTTTTACTTTCGACGACTCCTTGTGTTTTAAAATGTGCGACTTCTTGCCACTTTTGTATACCGGCTTATGGTCGCACGTCTCGCATGGGTACCACTGTATCTTATGCGTTAACAGGTGTCTAGACAGGCCACTCCCTGATCTCGCTCCAAATGGGCACATACTGCATTTGTGCAAATCCGCTTCTGGTATAGTAACATGTGTAAGAGCATGTTGCTTCAAATAGATTTTATACCGCGATCTATAGTTGCACTTATCGCACGGGTATCCATTGCCCTCTGAGGGACTGTTGTGGTACGACATGTGCTGTACAAGCTTGTGAAAGTACGTTGTTAGATAATTACAAACGTTACACTTGAACATATTCAAGTTCGATGGGTCTTTGTGTGCGACTTTAATATGCTCTCCGAGATCGTTCTTATTATTGTATTTAAAATCGCAAAGGCTGCATTTCTGATTGTTACTTTCCAAATCGATTTTCTGCTCAACTGCAGCATCGGGTTGGTGGCACTCCGCATCTGGAAGTCTTTTGTGCTGGGCCTCGTGAATCACAACTTTATATAAATACTTATTTGTATAATGGCAGATATTACATTTGAATAAGCTGAAGCTTGATGTGACCTGATGTGAAGATATTATGTGGTCTTTGAGGTCATTTTTATCCTTACCTTCGAAATCGCATAGGCAACAATTCCACGTATTTTGCGATGAATTTTTTGACGATGGGTAGTTTTTTGTTTCTTCGACGCCTTGAGTTTCATCAAATTCTTTTAGGTAGTGTTCCAAACTGAAAAATGTTTGAATTAAAAATAATAGCACTAGCAATTTTTTTTCTTTTACTATATTGATACCCAGCAACCCAAGGGAAAACTTATGACTATTGTTACGATAAAAATATCCTGATTTATTCTTACCTTTCTTGTGTGTTTCCTTCAAATTTGATTTCAATATTCTCATTTCTCACTGTCCCATTTTCCTCCTGTTCATAAGTTTCAAATTTTACATCGATTTCTGCTTTGATCAACTCTGTCAGTTCTTCTCGTTCGTCTTTCTCAGATTTTATTTCAATTTGAACTTCCTCAATTTTTATGTCTGAATCAAATGGTGGTAAACATTGCCAGTCCATAATTTTGCTTTCAACTTCTTTATTCAAAGAACTCTCAAATCTGCTGACTTATTAAAAAAAAATTGTTATATCAGGCGGTCAGCTTTTTTTCTGTCTAAGTTAATAAATAACAGATTTACGCACGACTCCTAATCCTCACGATTTTTAAAATACAAAGTTTCAATTACTAAGTCTTATACATGTATAGTTAAATGAAAAACTGATTTAGTTTGACTGTCATACTGCGAAATAGTAACATTTTAAACCACTTTGTAAATAAAAAACACAAAAGTTAAGTTCAAAAACCAAGAAAATTTTTCAGGTTAAATGAGCATAGAGCATAGAATGATGAACATATGACTAAATAAATAAAACCCGTGAAAAAGATAGGAAGAGCAGAATCATGAAAGTACGAGCGCCACCTCACAATGGGCCTGGAAAACACGCCATCGTTAGCACTATTTATGTATCGAAAACTGTAATACTAACTTGAACAGAAAAGTAATATTGTTATTAGAACCTATAGAGTTCGCTGAAAAAATTAAAAATTTGATGATATTACATGTATTCTTTCGTGCGGAAGCTGAACAAACTGATTGCAATCGGTAACTAGCCAATCATAATACAGCATTTTTAAAATTCTTAATCATGATTGGTTCTTTACTGTTGATTTCAATCACTTTGTTCAATACGAAAGAATACGTGTATTGAAAATTAGGTCACAAAGGGGATGTGTTCTGTGGATTAGGTTTGAGGTTATTTCTTCTCTATGTTGTATTCACAGATTAGAAAGTGGTTGTATTATGACTAATTAACTCGTAAGTTACCGTGCTTTTGATAATAATTGTTTTCTATTTTAGACTAAAATTTAATGTAACGCAAGAAGATAATTATAATTGTTGAATCGTTCATCTGAATTGTCTTACTGCTTTTGCTTGTTTTACTTTTTAATAGAAAATGTCTGGAATGATCTCACGTTACTGTTGTGCACCAAACTGCAAGAATACATATTATTTATATACCACAGATACTTCTTACAGAAATAAAAGCTTTTTCAGAGTTACTGCAGAGTGCAGACAGGAAAATGATTTGGATAGAATGTAAACCAGATTTTAACTTCATCAACGAAAAATGTTATTTTTGCGAAGACCACTTTGAATTAAAATGTTTTAGAAATAGTAGGAAGAATAGCCTCAACAAAAATGCAGTGCCAACAATATTTAGTGAATCAAAT